CCTCCGGGGCAGGCGGGAATCGAACTCATGCAGAAGTGGCTTTAGTTTCTCAGTGCTGTGCTTTAACCCGCTGCGCCACCAGGGAGGGCCCTAGTTTGTTGTTTTTAAAGGCGGACATGATTCTCTAAGGTTTGCTCCCAGATAGGAAGGCCTGTATCCTTTTTTAAAAAATTATTTGGATTTCTGAATAAAGAACTAGACATTCTGTTCTACCATAGTTCTATTACAATTTTGGGAGTCTGTATCTGTAAGCAAATTAGACAATCACCTGGGTAGAACTGCTTAGATGTATTTCATTAGTCATAGTTAATCACATAAGTTTAACATTGTGGGAAATCTTAGTGATTTTTTTTTTCATGCAAGTATTAAGATATATCAAAACTTCAGAAAGATGCCATGAAGTGTGGTTTGAATCTTTATATGAGAAAGGTTAGGCTTAGTTTGTTAATCAATTTACAGCCTTTAAAAAATTCAATTAATCACTCGTTTTTAAACCTTTTTCTTGAGTGGTTGCTCATACATGAATAATTCTTGATTTTGTTTCCAAAGCTATTACTGGTAAAAGAAACATGGAAAGTGGTGCAGTTCTGCTAGAATCCAAATCCTCACCATTTAACCTTCTGCATGAGATGCATCAGCTACGCCAGCTCGGCCACCTGTGCGATGTGACTGTCAGTGTGGAGTACCAGGGTGTCCGGGAAGAATTCATGGCTCACAAGGCTGTGCTGGCAGCCACCAGCAAGTTTTTTAAGGAAATGTTCCTTAATGAGAAGACTGTGGATGGTACTAGGACTAATGTCTACCTAAATGAAGTGCAGGTGGTTGATTTTGCTTCATTTCTTGAGTTTGTCTACACTGCGAAGGTACAGGTGGAAGAAGATCGGGTGCAGCGAATGCTAGAAATGGCTGAAAAACTAAAATGTTTGGACTTATCAGAAACTTGTTTTCAATTAAAGAAACAGATGTTGGAGTCAGTGCTTTTGGAGCTGCAGAACTTCTCAGAGTCTCAGGATACAGAAGGAAGCAGTGGATCCCAAGTGAGTGCTGTTCCTGAGCAGCCACTGGCTCTGGCCAGCGCAGCAGAGGATGGCCCTCTTGCCAATGGCCTCGTGGATTCCTTGGGTCCCGCAGGGGAGGGAATCAGCAATGGCATTTTACCAGCCATGCCTCTGAGGAAGTCCAAGGAGAAAGCAGAGAAGAAGAAAGAAGTCGTTAAGCCTCCCTTCCCTAAAATCAGAAGAGCTAGTGGAAGGCTAGCTGGAAGAAAGGTCTTTGTGGAAATCCCTAAAAAGAAATATACAAGACGACTTCGAGAACAGCAAAAAAGTGCTGAGGATGACATGGGGGACTACAGATGTCCCCAAGACTCCAGCCTCGACACTGTGGGGACAGAGCTGGAGCCAGGTGCCAAAAACGAGAATTGTAGTACTGGGGTGAAAGTGGAGGAAGTGCTGCAGAAAGTGGTGATAGGGGAGGAGGAGGACGAGGATGAGGAGGAGGAGGAGGGTGGGGAGAAGAGGAAGAGCAACTTCAAGTGCACGATCTGTGACAAAGCCTTTTTGTATGAGAAGAGTTTCCTGAAGCACATCAGGCACCACCACGGGGTGGCCACTGAGGTGGTTCACCGCTGTGACACTTGCGGCCAGACCTTTGCCAACCGCTGTAACCTGAAGAGCCACCAGCGTCACGTGCACAGCAGCGAGCGCCACTTCCCGTGTGAGCTGTGTGGGAAGAAATTCAAGAGGAAGAAGGATGTCAAGCGGCACGTGGTGCAGGTCCACGAGGGCGGAGGCGAGCGGCACCAGTGCCAGCAGTGCGGCAAGGGCTTGAGCTCCAAGACCGCCCTGCGGCTCCACGAGAGGACACACACGGGCCATAAGCCCTATGGCTGCACGGAGTGCGAGGCCAAGTTCTCACAGCCCTCTGCACTCAAGACACACATGAGGTACGGGCCGTGCGTGGCTCCACACGTGGAGTGTGGTGGGAAATAGCGGAGGCATTTCCGGATTGTGACTTGTTGGTTTATTTTCTTGGAATGTGCGTGGAGAAACGGAGGTGGTTCTAGGGTTGGACCAGTATGGCTACATCACCTGGTTTTTTATTTCTTAATTTGCTCCCTTTAAAAACTGGGAGAGGCTATTTTGAGACAATTGTGAATATTCTTTCTAGGTAGAGGTGCCATGAGATTGCCTTCCAGCTTTCTGGAAATCTGCAGTGTTCATCTAGGCTGGAGGCCCAACGGGACTCCCAGCTCCTGACAAAGAACCCAGTTCCCCTACTGCTGCACAGACCAGGACCCACGAATCTTGTCTTGCATGTACTGCAGGCCAGGCTCTTCCCCCTCCAGGGTAGACTCGTGCTATAGTTCCCACCACCTCTGCGAGTGGGGGCAGTTACCTGTATTTCTCTTTCCCTGATTCATTTAGAACTTGGTCTGTGACCTCTGGGTTTCAGTCCTGTAACCACCTCAGTGGCATGCATTTAAGGCTTTAGGCTATTTATCTGGTTTTATCTTTCAGCTCTCTGGGCTTGGATAGTATGCCATGGCTTAGCATGGTGTTTTTGGTGTGTAAATCTGTTCTTGAACTATATGTGGGTAGCATTCAGTTTTCAAATGATTTCCCTAGAATGCTTGTATTCCTGCTTGAAATCCAGACAAGCAGTTTTCTACTCTGTTCTGTATCTGCACACAGACCTGGGTCAGTCTTTGGGGTAGTGATGTGGTTTTCATCTTCTTTTTACTTTGTATATTGTTTAAAAACTTGGTCTAGGAACTTGGAATTGATGGCCACTTCATACTGGTTGTGAAATGCAAATGCTTTTGCACACTCCTCAGAAACCAGCCTTCTTCAGCACTTGGAGAACAGTTCTTTCTAGACAGTTTTTTTTTTTTAAGATTTATTTATGCACATAGAACTGGGGTACAGGCCAGAGGTGCAGGGGTGATGAGAGGATTCACCAGAGACAGAGTGGGGAGCAGAAAAGGCCGACTGACGAAGTACACTGCTGAGGGGAGCAGCGGGCAGGTCAGGAGAGTTCTGCCGCGCCATGTGGATCATCTCTGGGGCCAGGGATTGAACTCATGCTGAAGTGACTTTAGCTTCTTAGTGCTGTGCTTTAACCCACTGAGCCACCACGGAGGTAGGTCCAAGACAGTTTATGTTTTATTAGGAAAAGGTAGTAAGTTTTTTGATAACATGGTACTTTGTCAGCAATAGTTCGAAGGTGTTTGTGGTTGATTGGAATAAAGAAGCCTTACAAATACAATTCTATTTAGTGTTTTAAAACTACACAAAGGTGCGGTTCTCTGCTCGCATATGCTAAACAGCAGAAGCCGGAAGACAGGTATGGGTGGAATCAGTGTCTTAAGGGGCAACATGTCAGTCTTGCCCGCATGCAGAGACAGAGGTGGGGAAGGAGATGATGGCTCTCTTTACCTTTCACTCTATTCATTTTCAATAGGTCTCTTGGAATGAACTGTCTTTGCAGGCTAGGGTGGAAATTGTATTGCAAAGTGAGGTTTGAAATACATCCTAAGTTATCATCTGAATGTTGTACTTTCAGAATTCATACAGGGGAAAAACCTTTTGTCTGTGATGAATGTGGTGCAAGATTCACTCAGAACCACATGCTGATTTATCATAAAAGGTGTCACACAGGTAAATACTCATGCTGTTGTGATTGAATGTCTTTCCTAGCTGTAGACGCAAACTGCCATTAACTAATTTAGAAGTTGGCATCTATCAGAATGATGTAAGTTAAAGCCATAAGTAGCATTTCCATCTAGAAAAGTGAGCAAAATGTACAAATAAAATATGCTCACCATGCCCAGTGCTGGCATGCTTGTTCCAATGCCTTTGCATATCCGGTTGTAGGAACTGGCATTGAGTCTTGTGTATCAAGAGGTATCAAACAGTTCCTATTACTTTAGACCCAAATTCCACTTCGAGGAATCTGTTGTAAAGAAACTGTTCAGAATATGGGAAAGGCCTTATGCTGTTCTTTTCCAACTATTAATAACGAAGCATTAGAAGCAATTTTATTAGTGTAACCACAGGAAGTGGCTCTGTAAATTGGTCAATTTATCCGCTTCTGGTTCCTGATCTGGCCATTCAGATTCAGAACTCTGAACAGTATGATTAACACCCATGCAGGGATATTGACTTAAAAAATGCACAATTAAGCATATAGTAAATCTCAACTATATGGAAAACCTGCACATGAAAGACTAGAAGAAAATCGTTTTATGTAGTATTAAGGGGTGTGTGAAATGATCTCACTTCCATTTTTCACATTTTATATTTTATTGTGACGGCGAAAATTTAAGTTTGCTTTATTCTTATTCAGCATAATAACCTTAAAATTTAGAATCCTGTATTATACAAAAGCATATAGACTCTGTGTGCTATAGTAGTCACAGTAACTGTTCTTTCATGTTTGTTTGCATTTTCCATTTTTACTTCTAACCACTGTCATGTGCTTTTAAGTTCAAATTCAGGCAAGACAGAGTTGAGGCATTTAATGCCAAATTACTAGACTGTAAAATGAGCATAAACTGATATCTAATGGAAGGTTGGGGGTGGAAAGGTCACACTGACCTGCCACCCTTTTATAATCACTTGATTATAACATTAATTCAGATTTTATTAAAGCTGATCTTTATTTTGATGTTTGATATCGGGGCACAACTAATAGTGAGTCTGACTTATGGGACTTAAAGAACTGTGTAACATGAAATGGCATTTTAAGTTTTTTCTTGTTCTATAATCCACTCTAAGTTGATGAGGATTTGCTACTCTTGAGTAGCTATGCCTGTTATATTTAAGATGAACTTCCTCTCAAGAGGGGCTGTTATTCTAATAACAATCCCTAGAAGTGCTTTCTGAAAAATAACAATTCTCCAAACCAGTTGTAAAACTGTTTTCAAATGACTAATACTGTCCAAACTGAGCTAAATACCTCTTTAATTCTAGTCTAGTTTTCCAGAACTTCCAAGGGTATTTTACACCAACACTGAGCAGGTAGTAACCATCTTCAGCGACTAGAGGTTCTGATAGTTCCAACTAGAGAATGTGGCACGCTGCCTGCCGAGGTACCCTGAGGAGCACACGGGTTTAAGAATGTGGGCCTCTCTTCCCTTATGTCTTAATGTCTGAATCATTTCTAACTCTGTTTCATCTTTTCATGTAGGTGAAAGACCTTTTATGTGTGAAACATGTGGCAAGAGTTTTGCTTCTAAGGAGTATTTAAAACATCACAATAGAATCCATACTGGATCGAAACCCTTTAAATGTGAAGTTTGTTTCAGGACTTTTGCCCAGCGGAATTCACTTTACCAGCATATTAAAGTCCACACAGGTATGGCTGGACTGTTGTCAGAAAAGGGAATTCATTATTCACCATGGCAAGAAAAAAAGCCCTAAAGTTTTAGGTTTATTAGCAAATTATTTGGAATTTATCTTTGCATTTTGTGTAACAGCATTAAAAAGAAATGAGCTTCATAATGGACCAGGTGAGAAAATAGTAAGAATAATGAACAGCCATATACCAGAGACATTTTGTGGGGGTGGAGTGGGGAATGGGATCAAAAACGGAGTGGAGGGAGAGGGAGGGAAATGCATGGGACTATGGTGATGGCACACGGGTGACTCGGTGATGGGAAACCCACGGGGATTACAATTGAGATGAAAACAACATGTACAAGATGATGTAAAAATAAATCATTATAAAAAAAATGAGCTTCTAGTTTCTGGCTCTGAGAAGCTGACGATATGAAGGGTTGAACATGAATGTAGATATGTGAACATTTAAATGTCTCCTGATTAACTTAGGGACCATAATTTCTACATTTCAGAGTATGTATACCCGCTCGTAAATTCATTTATGTCAGGGCTAGAGTTTTCTATTCTGTTACTGTGAAAAAGAGGGAGAAACTTCTATAGGTGTAATACCAGCTACAGGTGTGGCTTTGGGCCCTGCTGGGTGTAGACTGTAAACTCTCCATTTTGAGTCAGTTGACCCTTGAGTTGGGCCTTAAGTAGCTGTATGGTGAACACCCATGATTTTCTGTAGTTTACAAACAGCATTATTTCAGTGTGTTAGAATTAAACACCGTAGGCTAAAGAACTCTTTTCTTCTGTCTCAGGGGAACGGCCCTATTGCTGTGACCAATGTGGAAAGCAATTCACCCAGCTCAATGCACTGCAGCGCCACCATCGGATCCACACAGGAGAGAAGCCTTTCATGTGTAACGCATGTGGGCGGACATTTACAGACAAGTCCACACTCCGGCGGCACACCTCAGTAAGCTTGCTTTTAAGAACAACCACTGGTGCTCCCTAGGTGCACACAGCCCTGGACAGCCAGAAGTGCCTGTCAGTCGTTCCATTAAGAGGCGAGGGAACATTTGAGGTCTTTCTCTGAAGACCCAAGTCTCCGGGCCTAGGAAGGCTCAACTCTGTGATAGATCCTTTTCTAACAGTGATATGATTGGCATAAAGATACTAAAAATTATTAAAAGGATGTTTTTCTGGAGCAGGATCTAAATTTAAGTTGAAGTGAGATGATTGTTATTAGCTGTGAATTGAGGTTTATAGTTCCTTGTGCAGAAGCAATCAGTGACTTTTGTTTTGTGTTTAATTTGTAGATACATGATAAGAATACTCCATGGAAGTCTTTCCTTGTTATTGTAGATGGCTCACCCAAGAATGATGAAGGGCACAAGACTGAACAGCCTGATGAGGAATTTGCACCATCCAAACTTTCGGATAAATTGCTGTCTTTTGCAGAAAATGGCCATTTTCACAACTTGGCCACAGTGCAAGACAGCATCCCTGCTGTGCACGGGAATAGTCCCATTGACCCTGCCTGCAAGTCGGATGACCCTGTGGTGTCCCAGGATGCCCTGCTGGCCACCACCATCAGTGAGCTCAGTGGGCTGACACCACAGACAGACCCGATGCCCACACAACTTCACTCCTTAACCAACATGGAGTAAGAGCTTGACTTCAGCTGCCAACCCGGTGGCAGCTTGAATCTTTGCTTCTATAAGAGAAGTAAAGATAGCTGTGTAGGAGATAAGTCAGGGACTAAGCAAAAGAACTGTGGGCAGTGAAGAGAACAAGAATGATTCCTACAGATTCTCCCAAATTTCTGCTCACTTGCACGTCTTGATCAAAGCATTTTTAAAGCTTTCCCTTAAAATCCTGATCTGCATGATCTCAGCTACACTTAGCAAACAAGGCAGTTACCATAACCTTACTTATTTCTGGTACAGGTTATATGTGTTAATCATTCTAATGCTTGATTATTTTGATATTTATGACTTGGACATCTGCTTACCTTAACTGTCCACAGCAGTGACCCAGGTCATGAAGTTGCTATACCTGGTCTCACCCTGCCTTAGCTTCCATGTGGGCTTATTTCTGATACTTTTATCGTATTTTTCTACCAAGCTGAAATAAAACTGGGGCCGTGTATTTTCAGCTATGTCTTTCCTGTTGAAATGAATGAAGCAAATAAATTTGTTCTGGGGACCCTTGAATGAATTACTGCACTCGTTCCTCTCTGTAACCTCTGCCCCCCCACCCCTGCCCTCAACTACCTGTTAGTAAACACTAAAGGAGGAATGACAAATTGGGTACTTGCTCACTGCCTAGGATCTCTCAGCAGTAAGCAGGTAGAACATGTGCCATAAAATAACTTTTGAAATGAAAATGGCTGTTTGTTGCCTAAAAATCAGATTAGGTAAAAGCTGTTCTACCAAAGATTCTAGCAGCAAACTGTACTATTTATTTTGCAAAGAAGTGTGAATATTAAGCAAGAGGCTTTAGAAGACTTGAAATGTTTCAGCCATTTTATTTACAAAGTAGAATGAGGTAACTGTGTCAAACTTAGAGCAAAGTATTAGTATTTTTGCAGTTTTTCTGACGTGAGTTCCAGAAACCCAGACTTTCTCATTTCCACACGCAAAGCTTGAACTGTTTGTTTTGTTGGGAGCATGTGAGCATATGTCGATGGGACCAAAGGCCTTGCCACACTCCTCCTTGATTATGCCTTACGAGAGGACTGCGAAGACAAGTGTCTTAGATGCGCCTTTGGCTATCACATGCTGGCCTTAATTGCTCGAAATGGTTTGTAGTTAAGAGACTATTCTGCTTTATTTTCTAAGCCTGACTCTTGGTTCCTGTAGGTTGGTGGCTTGGGTATATTGCTATGTGCTTATGAAGTGCTTTGACGTAACCATATTAAAAAGAAACATGAATGGTAATTGTTTCATTCGCTAGTTAGTTGCTCTCTTCCTCCACATTTTAATTTATTAAACTTGCTGTGAAAACACTTTTTTCTAGAAGAACGGTACTTTGATCTGTAAGTATGAGACAGCTGCATTAAGCCAGAAATTAGTGAGGGAAGACTTGCTCCTTGAGTGCTTACTTTTGTTCTAGCATATAACATGTCACAGGAAATACTAAAAACACCTTTAGGTGTTTTAGATGCTGATAACATGTTTCACACCTGCTCTTGAAGACAGCCATACTGAATGATTTCAAAATAAGTTGACAACTTATTCTAGTTATGTTTACAGAACAAAAAAAAAAAGTGACTATCACTTTGGTGAGAGAAAGGACCTACTCAGCTGATGAATTGTTTCATGGAATAAAGTTATCTTGAGGAGGAATTTAAATAATTATTTTGTTACCTACTGGAAGAATTTTTGTCTCGAATTTGTTTCTTTAGAAATTCTACAAAAAAACCTGAAATGTGTTAATAAATGTTTACTTTGTAAAAACAGTTTTGTAAGTTTATTTCCACAGTTAGAATTTAGGCCCTGCAGAAATGATTCTTAGTTGAAACACAAGTATCATTTCCTCAATGTCATAGGTAATGAAATTTCAAGTCAGAGTCTATAGGATTAATCTAACTAAACAATTTAGATTGCATGTTTATCCTTCCAAGTGAAAGGCAGAGAGCAACACTAACCTCTGTAAGAAGATGTGTAGCTGGTGCTGTGTAGTGCAAGTGGACTGAATTCAATGTCCTAATAATGTTGGCTGCACAGACTTCTCCGATACTCCCATTTCTCTGTCCACTTCCTGTGAGAGTTAAGGCTACCCCTTGAGAAATCCAAAAATTCCACAGAAGCCATCACAGAGGGATTTGCCCCTCGGAGCAAAAGCAAGGCCCTGAGTGTGTGACAGCAGGCAAGCGCCCCTGCTTCTGCACTGCCTTCCCCAGAGCCTCAAGAAAGGCTACTGGAGAGGAGGCCCAGCTCATCTCTCAGCTCAACCATGAGGGAAATACTGTCATCCCACACTCCAAAGTGCTGCCTTTGGTTCTATCAACACTGTAGAGTTTGAAAAGAAATGAGCCCTTTGGGGAAAAGACCTTTGATAAAGGTGAGTTATAACAGACATGTGGCTATGCTAAAGGTGACAAACAAATCTGAAAATGAGCTGCAGTAATTAAACTCCAATCCATTAAATTTTAGACCACGTTGTACCAGGAACAATTTTAGAAACCAAATGAGTGTTCGTCCCCTTAAATGAACTTGATAGTTGTTCACTTAAAATAGCAGTGAAGGTTGGGGGTGGAGAGAGGGAGGGACTCATGCAAAGGGCCATCTGTTCACATGTATGACAGCAAGGGTAGAAAAGACCATAGAGGGTTGGAGCAGTTCACCTTAGCAGAGCCCAGAAACCACACATCTACCTCTGTCAATCTGTATAGTGACTTAGCAAAATTAGCAACACCAGGTGTTTAAACTGTCATAGTGGCTTCTTTTTGTTAGGAAATACTGAATCAAAAAGGCATCTGAATGATAGCGTAATCCTGAACAACTCAGAATTCCTTAATATGGACGGATTTTTCTACCATTTGTTTGTTTAAAATGCTTTGAGTTATCTCTAAATTGTGGACTTGAAATTGACCTGAGGTCAACTGGCCATGTATTTAACTGCCTCTTCTTTTCAACCCCCAATCCTATGTCATACTCCTCCCAGGTTCTAGAGGGGAGGAGTTGGCAAGAGTGCTAGCCTTCTCCAGGTAACTTATCCCAAACAGACTTCTGTAAAGTAAACACCCAACTCAAACTAACAGAGGCGAGTGGCTTCAGGGTCCCTTGCTGGACCACCTCAATACTCTCTAGGCACCACTGCTCAGTCAACTTTCAAGTGGCTATAAGGAGCTTAGAGGATACAAGCAAGAGTCCTTAATGGAGGTAGCAGGAAGGTATGAGAATGTGAAGCTTAGTTTTGAGATTAATTGAGTACATCAATAGACTAAGGTTTCCTTCAAAGTCCCTTATCTTGTAAACACACCAAATACCCTGAATTTCTATTAAGTGACCTAAGTTAAGTGCTTGGATGGATATTCAAAGAGCCTAAAAAAGATAATGCCCATTACTTTCAGCTTATTGTGAACAATCTGAAGGAAAGGAAGTTCCATTGTGCAAATGGAATTCGGAAAGAGTAGTCAAGATAATACTGATAATTTCCACTTTATTTGTTGTACAGGTTCACACAAAACATCCATACTCTCTGCTAAGAGATTTACCATCACATGGGCAGGTAGTTTTCATAAGTAATTCTCTGCCCAAGAGCAGCAGGGGGAACACTGTAGAGACCCACTGAGAACCTGACAGGCACGAACCTGCTCCTTAGCTCCTGGCGCACACTGCAGGCGGGAGGGTCGGAGGCGCATGCGTGCTGCCAGCTCCTCTGAAGCAAGCCACAGAGGTCTGCGTTTGGACATCTTAAATACAGTCAGAGAAAAATAACAAGGGCACACATTTTGGTTACAGTGACACCATCACACACAGGCCACAACTGTGCAAAAATACTGCTTTCAAATCATTAAATAAAAAAAAAACTCATAAAGCTATAAAAATATTGCCACAAAACAAAGCTTTCCTGAAGAGATTTGAACTGACTTTGATTATGAACTAAGCTCAGATTTGCTAAAATACAAGGATTACAACATAAAGTCCTATTTTGCTCATAAATGACTTCTATAAATCCAGGAGACCTAATTCAGAGCTCCAGTCATGGCTCCTCTCTGTGCTGATGGGACACTTCAAGGAAGTCTGGACACTATCAACGGGACAATTCCCTTTATCATCTGGCAGATCTGTTCTAGCCTTTATGGTTATTTTAATCCTTTCTAGGTGAAGTATCACAAATGAAAATTAATTCTTAACTCGGCAGTGATCCCAGGGTTTACTTCACTAAAAATAAGGAACAAAACGTCACCGATACTGCTTTAAAAATCATGCTTCTTCATATAGAGGTTTTTTAGTAGATCACTATGAATAAACTGAAATTCCTTAAAAGAAATCATTTGGTTTTAACTTTACATGGTAAGATGGTTTTTTTAACAAGTGGAAATAAACATTCTAAACCAGAGATAGAACAAGAATGCTGGCACTAGCATTTAAATGCTCCCCACTTGGAAAGAATTACAGCTGGAACACAGGACGCTGCAAAAGCTCCCCAGGCTCTTGCAAAAGGAGAGTATTGGGCTGGCTGAGGAATAGATGAGTTATTGCAACAAGAATCCACATCTAAGCATTTTCTCATAAGAGACTCCACAGGAAGCAAAGAAGTTTCAAATGGGCTGTGTTCTGAACTGTACTGTGACGTTCAGCGTTCTTTCAACAATACCAGACCTTTGAAGGAAGGACAGACTCCAGGGCCCAATACCAGAGTTATCTGTATCTTCTGATCCATCCCTTCTATCCTCAGCTGACACTGTGCCATTGCTGACCATCCTTGTCACCTGTCTACCCCACCTCATAACCTGTCCATCATAAAAAATGCCACATAAAAAATGCCACTGCCACCACTGTAGAGGGAGAGCCTGCACAATGTGGTCTCAGCTGGGCCTCTGCATCTTCATTTCCTGCTACTGTCCCTCCATTTCAGATTGACTGACACTATCCCAGGCCATCCTCATTCAGTCAAGTCACACAGTCACATACCCACTCTATTTCTGTCCAACTTGTCTACTAACTCAGTCAAGGGCCATCCAAAATTGAAAATGCCACTAAAATACCAATTACTATCTGACATAATATGGAAAATTTCACTGCCTGTCCTTAATAACTGCTGTCACAATTTAAAAAGAACCACAGGGCCTCCATGATGGTGCAGGGGCTAAGTCTCAGCGCTATCAAGCTAAAACGAACCACAGGTTATGTCTGGCAACAAATGTTTTAAAACACAAATCATTGAAGCATAAATATGTGTACAGAGGAGATTCAGGAAACAAGATGATGTCTAAAGTACAATGTGAGCATGTAACATGCAGGTAGGGGTCAAGTTCTTAAATAAGAGCACATATTATGTAAATCAAAATAAAAGGACAGAGATCAAATACACTAAGATCAATCCAATTGGCTAAGAGGAATATTAAGTCCCCATCAGAAGCTAGTTTGGATTCTTCTCCAAATGTGCAAGTAGTAAACCCAGTATAATATTAACTTATCTAAGCTGTCACATTCAATAAAGAGATAAAATGAATGACACACATTCTCAAGCTTTGACTCCTGGTTCTGAATGGGATTTACATGAACATGGCAACGAGAGCACCATTTTATGTGGGGAAGTATATAAACACAAAAGTAAAGGGATGTGCCCGTTAAACAACTTTATGTGACCTTAAAGAAAGGAGTATCCATTCCAACTAAATTGGAAACTCTCTCCAGGAAAAGGTGATATTCTGTTTTTCAAAGTCCTATGTGTGTGTGTATATAAGTACAAATCAGTCAGACTCACCTTGACATTCATCCGCACACATAAACAAGCACTGCCAGGAAGCTCCCTTCACTTACAATGTGCAGTAATGCCAGCAGACCCAGGCTATTCTGAGTTTGTGCATGCATGTTAGCAAACAGAACAATACACAAAGCAAAGAAAGTGGTCACTAGCACCATCAAAAGAATCACAAGATAACAACAACAAAATTTCTAATGAAAAAGGTTATAAATTCATTCCCAACAACCATCCTAAGCTAAACACAGATATTTAGAGAATACTTCCCAAGCATCTATTAGAACTCGGTTGGGTACTCAAGTCCATGAAGGACAAAAGATTACGTGGCAAAACTTAACAAGGGCCCTGCAAGTATCAAAACAACAAGAATCAGTTTCTGAAGTAGTTCTCAGAAAACCCCAGAGACTCTGACAAGCATTGAACTAGCCCATCCTACCCACAATATGCACAGGAGCTTCCCACTTGTCCACTTCATAGCAACACAAGCATGGCGTGCTTAAAACACACACAGGTCATTTGGCTCATGTGCAACAAAATTAAATCATTAAATGGGCATCCCGTAAAGATCAGTTGGCCCTAAAACAAAACTAAAGAGGAATTAGCTGCATGCCACAAAGACAGGGACGCTTCACTTCAGGTCTCCATCTCCTTCTCCATCCCCTTGGATGGACTTTTTGATACGAAGCAACATGGTAGTAAGCCACTGATCCAAGCGAGATATCGAGTCAAATTCCTTCACCTAGTTTAAGGAGAGAAAAACAGGAATTAGTCCTTGGAAATACAATCCACACACAAAACAACAGTACCCTGAGCTGTTCAAACATTTATACTGATAATCTGCCAATACTCTTCATTAAAAACTGTTTATTTTTTTCATTACCCTGTGACAGCTTTGATGGAGCTGGTGACAAGTTCATGTGCTTTTTATGTTGCTCTATATGCTAACATGTGCATGGCAAAAAATTCCTAATAGCCTTTACACTTGGAAGAACAACATACAAAAAACACGATCCTGTATAAGAATCAGAAAATGGAACATTAATACTGCTCAATACTCACTGAAAATGAAAAGAATGTACCTGCAAAGAAGGAATGTGTGGAAGTAGAATTCTTTTAACTGCCTTTACTGCATTATCACAGAATAAAATTTCAGTGGGACAAAAATTACTTTTGGTAGCAAAAGTTAAATGGGAAAACATCCCTTTCAAAGTCATGGTGATCATCTTAATGAGGATATATAGAGAAATTTGCTTGATTATAAACATAAACTGGGAAAGCAGAAAATGATGAGTCTGAAGAAAAATATCTCCCATCTATTTTATGCCAAGGATATAGCAAACTCACACTATTTTATTTTTAAGTTGTATTTCAAAGTATTTTATTTTTAAACTGTATTAATAATTTAAATTGTGTTTAATTGATTTTATTTTTCACATACTTATACATCAATTATTTTAAAAAAAAAACATTCAAATTAACAAAATACTAGAGGATACTGCTTATTAAATTTGCCTCACAGCTAAATTTAGTAAATATAACTGCCTAATTACTAAAGTTTGTGGAATAGATAAAATACGACCTTTGTAAAATATACATTAGGTATACTGGAATAATGTTTAAATAAATTTCAACCTGTACATTACAATGAAAAGAAATTTCTGTAACTTAAACTTTCAAAGAATGCACTATCTCCCAAAGGCATAACTTACTGCTTCAGTGTAAGCTTCACTATTCTGTTCTTCATGAGCTTCTAAAAGTTTCTGGCAGAACAATATAGACAAATTAGTTTAAGTTAAAAATTTCCAACTATGAATAGATACTTTAGATAAAGATAAAGCTTTAGTATAACAGTATAACATTGCTACTGCCTTATAAATAAATACCTTATAAAATTGGGGAAATATTAATTAGAATATAAACCAGGCCCTCCCTGGTAGTACAAGGGGTTAAGATGCAGCACAATGAAGCTGTTCACAGCTACTGCAGCACGTTCCATCCCTGGCCAAGACCTCTCCTGTCCCACCCGTCAGCAGTGTATTTCAGTAGATCTGCCTGTTCTGCTCCCCACTCTGTCCCTGGTGAAGTCTCCCATTCCCTGCATCTCTGGCCTATACCCCAGCTCTCATATGCATAAATAAATAAATTTTTAAAAAAACATAAAAATAATGTAATTCAAGAATTATCCAAAGTCAGAGAGCTCCATGTTTTGTGTTAATTTTTCTGAACTGCCTGTTTAAGAACACAATGCTTATATCTCTGACTCTAGTCACACTTGAGACCTATTCTTTAAAAGCTGAAAAGCAGGCAGCAGACTTCATAAAATTAAAACTTCATTATACCCAATCCTACATGACAACAAAGGTATTTTTTTTTCAAAGTTCTAGCATAACTTACTTTCAGTAATTTACATTCTCTTGAATCAGTGAATGCTGGAAACATCTCCTCATATTTCTCAAGTGCAAGCTGAGAAAGAAAAATCACCTGTTAATATCAAATTCACTGAACAAAGAAACAATGTCTTGAACATTACCTTTAGTAAGACTTATCTACATCCAATTTGCAGTGGTAAGCAGCATTTTGTTAAACTTGTCATCAAAATGAATTTGATTTAAAATTTTCAATTTTAGTTCAGAAGAACTCTAAGCCATTTTTTCTTTTTTTCTGAATTAGATTGCTGTAAGAAGACAGCAAATGTAAATTAGAACCAAATGTAATTCTAATAAAACCTTACAGACCAGATGTCTGTTTTCATCCACAATGGAGAAGTTCTTCCAATTTTCAAACAAAAATTTGAGGAGGCTGGAAGGAAGTTTTTTTCTTTCAGCAGCTTTACTTCTTCTCTTCCAAGTCTGGACACTAATAAAATCTAGGAGCCACGTCTCTGCCTCTTGTCTCTTAGTTTCCATTCAGTTTTTCAATTTCTCTCTAGTTGGAATGAAAATTCCAAAAATAGCTATTCTACTTATCTCCCCTTTTACCATCTAACTTATTTCAAACAAATCTACTGAAGGAAAGATGGTTGCCATCTTCTGACTGAAAAGGACAGCCATGGTGACTGATCATGTCACCATGTATTAAATTATGGTTGGGAAAAAATACCATACAGCATCATTATTACTACTGTTATTATGTTATTATTTTTATTATCATTACTAATGTAACTGGTTTAGTTCTGCTACTAACAAACACCACACAAATAAAATGAAGCAAGGATGACTGAGTACCTAGATCCTGTTTTCATGACTAACCTGTGTCAGAAAGCTAGCACAGAAGAATGTTTACCTTAGCGTTCAACTCATCGACTATGAAGTGACAGAGCGCTGCTTTAAAGAAGTAGTCCTTTGCACTGTACTTCAACAAAGGATTGTCCATAGTGTTTGCTCCAACCTAAGCACAGAAAGCAGAGTTAGGCTGACAAAGCTTGCCTTTTATATTAGACAAAATGATTCACATCTACTGCCTGTCAGAAAATATTTCTGTATCTTACATTAGTTTAGCCAGGAAACATACTTTCTAACCTAGTATCATATACTAGAAAATTTTACCAGACAAGGAATAATATTGAGTACATAAAGTGCTGACCTGTTAAAAATGACTCAGAATTTACACTTCCAGGAATATGGGATAGATGAACTCTCTATCCCTCCTGCAGACAATTAAATACCCAATTCATATAACACAAAGATAAGAAGAGTAAAAAGTGGAGAAGAGAGCAGACCAGCCAGGGACCTAAAGACAGGCAAAGTATGCCAATGAATTCCCTGGGTTATGTTCTTTCCTATGTTTTTGACTTGGAACAACCTGTAAGTGCTAATGGTTGTAAAAAGAGATTGGTAAGTCTGCTGTCTCTGGCCAAAGGCAGAAAATGGGCAGTCTAGCAAGACTGAAAACATTCAGAATAATAACTACTCTATTTTGGTCAGAAACCACAGAAAAACTGTGACTCTACACTATTCACATCAGTAGATTCAAGATATCTACCTTTTCAAGAATGCAAGGAGGAGCCAATATTGTCACTGAGGTAGCTTTGTAGCCTCAATGACGGCTAAGTAGGGAGCCAAACCTTCCACCCCTGCCACTGAGGTGGGAGATTACATGCCCTGAGATGGAGGATCACAGGAATCGGTGGCCCTCACCTCCAGGGACATGGACTCAGAAAAGACCTAGTGGGGAGAGAGAGAGTTAAGACTTTCACCATCACCTAGTAGTAAATGAAGACAACCCTAGTAAGTTGTTAGAAGAGAGCAAGCAAGGGCTGGAATGCCTGCCTCTGCCCAGGAGGGAACAAGAGACCCTCCAACCCAATGGCAGTGGAATGGGAAGCCTGAACTTCTTTACCACCATCTGGCAGGAAAGAGACAGCATACTCCTTCCTTCTCCATCTAGTGCGGTGTCAAAGAAAACCAGCTGAAAGAAGGTTTAATTAATGTATTATGTTTTATAATGCAAAAATGTACATTTTTCAATTGAAACTCATGCCCATTATCAGAAAAGATCAAGTGAATGAAGGAAGACAAATGATATAAACAACTGGTGCATGATAACTCTGAGATGACAGAATATTAGAATTATCTAATAACAAAATTTTTAAAGGGACCCTTATAAAAATACTTCAAAAAGCAATTACAAAAACTCTTAGAAAAAAAACAGGAACTCGTCATCCCCCCAAAATCATAAAAAAATCACTTCACAGCAATAAACCCTAAAGGGTATTTTAAAAATGGAAATTTCAAAAATAAAAGATACAACTGACAAAAAAGGTAGATGGGCTCAACACTAGAATATATGGGACGATGGTGAGAATTGGTAAAGTGATAGAACAATGGAAATTACTTATTCTGAACAGAGAGTAGACTGAGAGAAAAAAATGACCAGAGCCCTGAGAGATTTTTTTTTCTCTTGTAATTTAACATTTGTTTCCTAGAAGAGAGAGGAAGAGGGGTTGAAAAAATAATTTAAGAACTAATGGCTTAAACACCTCAAATTTTACAAAACATAAATTTGAGAAGTTTAGAAAAAGCCAAACAGAGTAAAAGCAAAGCTGTCCATGTAAAGTCACATAAACTTTTGAAAACTGAAGATAATGTTTTGAAAACAACCTGAGAAAACCAATACCTTACCTACTAGGGAAAAACAATTTGAATGACAGCAAATTTCTTTTAGAAACCATGGCGGTCACAAGTAGCACATTTTTCAAATACTAAAAGAATTGCTAACACAGACCTGTAAGCCAGTTAAAACACGCTTTAGGTATGAAGGGGAAAGCAAAACATTTCCAGCTAAAGAAGCACTTAGAAAATCTGATGCCATCAGGCCTACCTAAAAGAAGGGCAAAAGGAAAAGAAGGGATAAGAGAAGAAATGTTCAGACATCATGAAGGAAGAAAGAACTTTGCAAGCAAAATCTGGGTAAGAATAATGAACTTGAGTTTTCTAAATTATCAAACAATTTCTAAATTATTTGATGAGTGAAGCAAAAGCTGTAGCACTGATGGAGAAGAAATAACTATACATTGAGTGAAAAAGGTAAAGGGGTGGAAATTAAGATTTCCATATTGTACTGGAATTGATAAAACAATATGATAGCTATGCAAAGGTAATACACACAGAGCAATTACTAAAAAATTATATTTGAAGAGATACACTAAACACTATACTCAAGTAACCACTGGAAGACAGGAAAAAGAAAAGAAAAACACAAGAACTGAGCACAAATTGAAAACAAAAATAAAACCATAAACCTAACATATCAATAATTACATTTAATATCGGTGGTCTAAATACATCAACTAAAAGATAGAAACGACAAGGTAGATTATAAAGCATAATTTAACAATATACTGGCCACAAGAAATTCACTTCAATCACAATGATACTGGTAAGGCTGAAGGAAAAAAGAATGAAAAAAGGTATATACATATGAATCAAAAGGAAGTTGGAGAAGGGAGAAGCTATATTAATAGCAGATAAAAATCAACTTCACCCTCCCTGGTGGCGCAGCTGGTTAAAGCACTGCACTGAGAAGCTTAAGCCACTTCCACAATGAATTCGAACCCCGCCTGCCCCAGAGGAGATACACATGGTGTGGCAGACCTCTCCTGACCCGCCCGCTGCTCCCCTCAGCAGTGTACTTAGTGGATCTGCCTGTTCTGCCCCCCACCCTGTCTCTGGTGACTCCTCTCACCCTCCGCATCTCTGGCCTGTACCCCAGTTCAATATGAATAAATAAATAAATCTTTAAAAAAAAATCAACTTCAGAGCAAAGCAAACTGCTAGAGACACAGGGAAACAATACATGTTAAAAGGTTAACTCACCAATAAGACAAAGTAAGTTTAGATGTGCATGCAACATATAATAAAGCTGTAAAATATGTGAAACAAAGATTGAGAGAAAACAAAGGTCAAATCTACAATTATATAGTATACTATATACTATATATATAGTCAAATCTATACTTATATAATTATGCAATTATACTTCCATATATTAAGACCATAAAACAAATTTCAACAAATTTATCAGAATCAAAATCATTCCTAGTCACAATGAAATCAAACTAAAAATGGGCCCTCCCTCCCTGGTACCCCACACAGCACTGCAAGCTGGTCACAGCCACTTCAGTGCAAGTTGCATCCCCAGACCCAGAGGTGATCCACAGGGTGCAGCAGAACTCTCCTGTCTTGCCTGGACTGTACCCCAGTTCTGTATGCACAAATAAATAAATCTGTACAGGCCAGAGATCCAAGGGAGGTGAGAGGATTCACCAGAGACAGAGTGGGGAGCAGAACAGGCAGACAGATGAAGTGCACTGCTGAGGGGAGCAGCGGGCAGCTCAGGAGAGTTCTGCCATGCCAGGTGGGTCAGCTCCGGGGCAGGAAATTAAACTCATACTGAAGTGGCTTTAGTTTCTCAGTGTTGTGCTTTAACCTGCTGCGCCACCAGGGAGGGCCATAAATAAATAAATCTTTAAAAAAAAAAAAAGAAATCCAACTAAAAGTCAACAATAGAAAGACAACAGGAAAATCTAGAACTAACTGGAAATTAAATGAAACACATCTAAATAACCCACAGGCATAGTAAATAAAATGAGAAAATTAAAACAGAACAATATTAACAGTCAAAGCCGTGTGAGGGGGAAGTCAACAGAACTAAAACAAAAAGGAAGATCAATAAGCTAAGCCTCCATTTCAACTCTTAAAAAAAGAGCAAAATAAATCCAAAGGAAGTGGAAGGATGAAAGTGGTAAAAATAACAATACAATTAAAGAAACTGAAAAAAGTAAAAAAGAAAACCATCTAATTTATCCAATGTTTACAGAAGAATTAACAATTCTTCACACATTACTCCACAAATTAGAAATGGGAGTACTTCCCAACTTATTCTATGAGGCTAGTATTCCCTTGCTAGCCAAACCAAAGGCATCACAAGAAAAGAAAATTAAAGATCAATATCCCTTATATTGATGCAAAATACTACCAAACTAATTCTAATAACCTAAAAAAGGTCTACACACCATGACTTTGTTTTAAAGAAGTAATTTTGTTCAAAGTGAGAGCATTCTTTTACCTGTGGGTCCTAGGAGGTATTCCCTAAGCCCTTGGACAGTCCTGCATGAAAGATAACGCAATGCAGTTCAGCTCGACCTACAGATGAACTCGGAATATGGGTGGTCAACCAGGTCTACATGACTGAGCCTCATAGAACTCTGGAGCCCAGATTCAGTGAGCTTTAGTGGTTGGCAATAATCTATGTGTATTTTACTATCTACACAATTCCCATGAGGGGAGGATAAGAGGAAGTGTCATGCCTAGAACTTTCCTGCATCCTGAACTTTGACTCATAATTTGCATAATTTTCTATAATAAAACATAACTGTGAATCTAACAACTTTTAGTGAGTTCTGTAAGTCATTCTAGAGGATTATAAAACTTGGAAGGTATTTGTTGGAGACCTATCAAATTTGTAATAACCAAGTAGAATTAATCCCAAGAATGTAAGGTTAGTTCAGCTGATTAAAAGTTAATCAATGAAATGTACCATATCACTAGAACAAAGGACAAAACCACATGTTAACCTTAATAATGTTAACAGAAAAAGCACTTGACAAAATCCAACACTTTTGATGATAAAACAATAAGCAAGCCAGGGAGAGAAAGAACTTCCTCAAATTGGTAGAGAGCATCTACAAAAACCCACAGCTACATAGCACATAATATTTAAAGAATGAAGTTTCTTTTAAAAGGCGGGAACAAGATTAAGTAGTTTCTGCTACTTTCATTTAACATTAACATTAACATTCAGATTGGAAAAGAAGCAAAGGTACTACTTCTTTTAGATGACTGATTTTGTACATAGAACATCCTAAGATATTCACAACCATCAGAGCTAATAAGCAAGGTTAGTAAGCTGCAATATATAAAAGCAGCAATCCAAGATGAAAATTAAGAAAAAATTCCATTTGCAATAATATAAAAAAGAATAAAATGCTTAGGAGTACATTTAACTAAAGAACAAGACTTACAAACTAAAAACTATAAAACATTGTTCAACAAAATTAAAGGAGATCTAAAAACAGCCGCTCATATAACATGATGCTAAGATATTGTTAAGATGGCAATACCTTCCAAAGTAGTCTACATAGTCACTGAACTTCCTATCAAAGTCCCAGCTGGTTTCTTAACAGAGACTGACAAGATGACCATAAAATCCATATGGAAATACAAAGGTTTGCGAGTCAATCTTGAAACAGAGCAAAACTAGAGGAGTACAATTCCTGACTTCAAAATTTAAAGCTACAGTAATCAGAATAGTGTGATAATGGCACAAAGATAAACTTACAGGACACCAAAATAGAACAGATGATCCAGAAATAAATTTTGCATAAATTTTTGTTCAAATAATTTAACAAGGGTGCCAATATCATTTAATGGCAAAAGGACAGTTTTTTTTTGTTTTCTTTTTAAACACACGGTTCTAGGAAATCAGGATAGCATGCAAACAATGAAGTTGGACCCTTACCTGCTAATAAAAAAGTGAATTAAGGCCCTCCCTGGTGGAGCAGTGGGTTAAATAAAGCTCAGCGCTGTGAAGCTGACCATGGCCACTTCAGTGTGAGTTCGACCCCCACCCCAGAGATGACCCACATGGTGCAGCAGATCTCTCCTGTCTCACCTGCTGCTCCCCTCAGCAGTGTACTTCGTCAATCTGCCTGTTCTGTTCACCACTCTGTTTCTGATGAATCCTCTCACCGCCCCTGCACCTCTGGCCTGTACCCCAGTTCTGTATGCATAAATAAATAAACCTTTAAAAAAATTCAAAAAGACCAAACTTAAAAGTTGTTACTAAAAAAACTCTTGGAACAAAAGGAGCAAAGATTCATGACATCTGATTTGGCAATGATTTTTCATGAAAAATACAAGAGAAAAACAAAAGAAAAAAAATAAATAGGACTTCACTGAAACTGAAAACTTTATGAATCAAGGACACTGATAATAATAAAAGGGCAACTCAATGAATAGGAGAAAATATTGTAAATATCTATCTGCTAAAGAATATCTATCTATCTATCTATCTATCTATCTATCTATCTATCTATCTATCTATCTATCTATCTATCTATCTATCTATCTCCAGAATATATAAGTTTAAAACAAAACACAAATCGGAGTCCTTACAACTAGCTGGTGAGAGTGTAAAATTGTATAGCCACTGTGGAAAACTTTGGCAGTTTCTCTTAAAAAAAAGTCAAATGGACCACCAATCTCAAACCTAGCTATGTAACCGAGACAACAACCTCTACAAAAAACAAATAACAACAAAACCTGGGCAAATGCTCATAGCAATATTATGCATACTAGTCCTCTAGTGAAAGCAGCCAAATGTCCACGAGTTGGCAGATGCATAAGCAAGATGGAACACTGTTCAGCTATAAGAAATGAAGTATCAGTACATCATGTAAGTGAAAGAAGCTAATAACAAAAAGACTCACACCATGTGATTCCATACACACAAAGGCCCAGAAAAAGCTAATCCACTGACACAGGAAGTATATAGCATTTTTCAGGGACTAAAAAGAGAATAGTTTCTTTTTGGGGTGAAATGTTTTGAAATTCAGTTGTAATGATGGTTTATATAACTCTGAATACAATCAACATTACTGACTCATACTTGAAAAGAAGTATATAATGTGTGAATTATATTTCAAAAAAATTAAAAAAAAAAAAATTCTTCCATAAGAAGCTAGCCCGCAGTATCTCACCTGCTCGTAAATCTCAATGGCTTTCTGGTACTGCTCAAGCTGGGCAGCATACGCTGCCACCTTCAGGAGACACTTGTTTGCTGAACTGCAATCAAGAATCAGAGCAGAATAAACAATCATTCAATCATTCATAGAAAAATAAAATAAAGATATCTATCTCAGGACACCTTTATTTGATACATCCCAATATACTCACAAAGAACAGTGAAAGTTTGTCTTTTCTCACATAGCAAAATTCATTAAGAAAAATAATACTTGCCTGTTGGATTCTTCTCCTTTGTAATAATCAGCTGATTGTTCATAATGAGCGATTGCCTAAAAATACACACCCATGTTATTTTCAAATGACTTGGTATATAAAAACCACAATATAAATAATCCTGTTCCAACACAGCAAACCTTTCACAACATGGTTTACTTCATTTAGAGACACAAGAAATCATGTACCTCCAGAGAAGTGTGGAGGCAGAATATTGGCAAGGCAGCAAAATATCTTCCTTCCCCTTATGTCAAATGTCAATTACACCATTTTCCCAGCCTGCACTGTAATTAGAGATAAGCCATACGATCTGTCCTTTGCAGTAGGATGTAAGAAGGCACACTGTGGGCTACTTCTGATCTTGGCCCACACGTGACTTTGTATTCTTCTCCAGTCCATTTCCCCTTCCACAAGCAAGAATGGCAATGACAAAGTCTAGAGCAACAATGGACGCCATAAAATGAAGACAGCAGAACTTCTGTCTGCCTAGTTTCTGAACAACTATAAAGGTCAGAATGTAGCCCAACCCCTGGGTCTCCACCAGTGACAAATCCAGACTGGCTTGTTATTTTAGAGATATATGAAGCCTACCAAATTTCAGATCTTTAGCTTGCTATAGCAGCAAGGACTTGCTTCACTCATACCAATAGTGACATCTAGAATATGGGAGTTGCCTTCAATCTGAAATGTGTATGTTACCACATGAGAGCTGAATGGTTGCAAAATTTAGTGGCTGTTAAATTAACAGTCAAAGGGAGAGAAAATAGGTTGAAAGCTGGCAAGCTATATTATAGCTTAATATTTAGTAAATCAAACACAAAACTTTGAAGACAGAAAGATGCCCACCGAAGCCAGAAATTTTATGGGAAGCAGCTCTATAAAAAGAGATGATGATGGCGTGTGCTGCATCTTTCAGCAAGATTTCACAGGACAGAACAACTCTAGAACCTTTTTCAGGCAACTAGAAGAAAAGAAGGACAGAGTTCAGAGATAGCATCTCACATAAAACTGGGAAAACCAACAGCGTCTATACCCCAAATGGCAAGATATAAGTCTAAACAGAATTTTAAACTGGTGGGTATGGCAAACTTCTTTGAAACAGGCCAGATAATAGATATTTTTAGGATTTATGAGTCACATATCTATTGCAACCACTCAGCTCTCCTGTGGTAACACAAAAGCAGACATAGATGATACATAAAATGAACAAGTTTGGCTATGTTCCAATATACTTCACTTATGAGCAATGCAGTTTCAATTTCATGAAATTTCTGTCTGTTATGAGATGCATTTATTCCTACCAAAAACTCAAACATGTAAAACCTGCTGTTAGTTTTACAAGAGTGCGAGTTGGGGGTCACAGATCTTCCCTTAACATTGAGGTATTTCTAGCAAACCCAAAAAGGGAGCTAGCATTATGTGAAAACCAGAGTACAGATGCTGCTTTCCCACTCAAAACCACTTGCTCTAGGGCTTCTAGGCTGCCCTAATGAGTTAGGAGATGCAAAGAGACAAGGAAACAACAAATAACATAAACCAAACTGGGGAATTATGTTACAAAAGCCCTTTAGTTGCGGTTACTGGCACATGGAGCTGAAGAGAAGCAAACAGTGTGGCCCACAGAGCCTCTGCTGAAGCTACCAGCTGAAGAGGCAAAGTCAACATTAGCCACGTCTGGATGATAGAATATTGTGGACAGTTTTGTGAAAAATTGGGCATGTCCATGCTTGAATAATTAAGTTTTTGGTCTACTCTTTCAGTCATTTAGCCTACATTAAGTTGGTCCCTAAATTTTATTCATAACTGCAAACAATTTACTTTGTTAAATATAATGGGTGACTGTGGAAAGATTAAAAGTAATGACAGAAAGTATCAATATGGACTTTTCCATATACAAATTAAATAACAGTCATTAAAAAAGAGACTAGAGACACACTATATAACGTTCTTTTTACAAACAAGGACACACACGGAATCTGGAATCTACCCCTTTGGAGCCCTTGTCAGAGCTGTCACCGACATACATGAATGCGGTTACTGGACTAAAGTAGATCTTTTCCCACAAAAATGTAAACTCTATGAGGGTAGGTCTCATGATGGTTTGCTCACCATTAAGTCCCTGGGTATAGAATAATGCCTCTCATATACAGGTACTCAATAAACAGATGTTAAATGAATGAAATTGCACTTCAAATGAAAGTTCCTTATTAATGACTTCCAATAGAATAGAAAGCTACATCTTTCTATTCAAAATATTAGTTACAGGGAATGAGTGTAGCTACTTTTCTTCCTAGTTCTCACAACAGTAGAAATCAATCAGTAAAGCTCAACTAAAGCATAAGCTGCTGCTGTTTTGGAGGTTAAGAAAAAAAAAAAAAAGGGCCGGTGGTTATTTCCAAGTTTTCAAACTGTAGCTGAAAGAACAGCTTAACAGAAAAATTTTAGTGATATGAGGCTGACCACAGGTTATCTCCAGATGTTCACATTAGCTTGGAATTTTACACATTCAGTAGTCCCTGTAGATGGAGATTTGTTCCAAGACTACCAAAAGATGTCTGAAACCATGGGCAGTACTGCACCTTACATAAATAATATGCTTTTCCCATACATACGTAATATGCACACACACGATAAAGCTGAATTTGTAAATTAGGCCTACGAAGAGATTAACAAAAAATAGTAGTAAAATAGGGTAATTAAAACAATATCCTATAATAAAAATTACATGGCTATAGAAACTCAAAATATCTTATTATGTGCAGCATTTCAGGTATGAGTCAGACCACAGGTAACTGAAAGGTAAGGAGGCAAGAGGGCTAGTGTTGTAAAGCAGCCAGGCACAAATAAACCCTCACGTGTTAGAAGTGAGTCCACTTAGCTTAAACTTGCAAAGGTGGAAAAATATATATAACGTAGAACATGACAGCCAAAACCCAACTACACATGTTATAGCACTCAATGTTATGCCAACGAAAATCAGCTGATTGTCCTGTTATTTAAGTAGTGTGCCTCAAAAACCCATGAGATTGCATCTTGGAGCATCTGGTCAGTGTCATGACGCTGGTAAACATACAGCCCCAGAAAGGAGAACAAAGTTCTCTAGGATGGTAGTGACCATTCAAGTAAATGCAATTACCAAAATTCAGACTTAAGAATCTACTTTATGGGTAAAAGACCCTTCGATAGCTTTAAGACGGGATCAATTCTTCTAGAACATCTATCCCCCAGACAGAACTACCATGCCCCTGCCATAGACACTTATATTACAACAAAATTATTAAGTCATGTTCCCCAGGGTTAGAAAACAGTAAAAGGTCATAGTTTCTCTGAATTATTTAAAAGACCACTTAAAGAGGGCCCATTTATTATTTGCTTTCATGTTTTACTTCATGAATTCAAAGCAGTAATATATATTTATGAAAATTTTACACTTCCTTGTTCACCAGCTAAAATCTGAATGAATCAGAGAACAATCGGGGCTAGTATTAACAGGGAAGAAGTTCTTTTGTAATCAATCAGATATTAAATGATTCAAACTAAACTTCATGCATCACCAACCACAATGTGATGAGTCCAACCAGGGAAATAAAGATGGTGTTTCTAAATACAGGGAACAAGGCAAGCTAAACCCCACGCCCGGCATATTCTTAAATATATATATATATATATATATATATATTTTTTTTTTTTTTTTTTCTAAAGCGCACACCTCAGTGAAAAGAGATGCCATCTACTGTCCAACTCACAGAATGGCAGGGACACCATGAGTAAGGATGGGGGCTTCAGAAAAGGAGCTGAAAGTCACCAATATTTTTAACAAGAAGGAAAACAAAAGCACACCTTAGATCATTTCATCCCCCGTGACTCTTATGGCAAGCCATGCAATGAAGTAGTTGTCTGAGAGCACGCCCTGGCGGCACAGAAGGTACTGCGCTGATTCCACAGTGCTCTTCTGAGCATCAAGGATAAGGAACTGAAGCAGTAGTGTTAGCTGGTGAGAGATTCTATGCACAAGTGCTTGCACCCCAAAATGATTCAAAATCCATAAAGATACTGTTCCTATTCAAGATAGGATGGCCAAATAAATATCTCATTCACAGCAGATGCATACCCTTCCTGTTCTGTCACTGATTTTGCACTGGGGAAAAAAACATCACTTGCCTGCAGGTTCTACACATAACCTCTCTGAAGAGAAGTTCACAAGCAAATGCCAATGGTGCTGACTTAGTCAAGATCAGAAGCTAGCCTTGGAAAAGCATGTCATATCTGTCCAAAAAGGTCAAATAATGAAATAGATATAACAAGTCCAAGTGAATTTTGTGCTAAATAACCAAAAGGTGGGAGTCAGCATGAAATCAGAAGGTGAAGGTTCACAAAGACAATCCAATTTTAGTACTCGGAGATGCTCCCCCGCTCCCCCCACAACCATCTGAGACTCCATTTGCTCTGGGAGATGCACAGATATACAGAGAAGGGGTAGAGATGGGATGCCATTTGTTATCAGAGTCTACTGTCTCAGAGGTCTCAGTTCTTGGGCTATAGCAGTAAACATGGGCAAAGTTTCCCACTGACATGGATTGGCCCCCTCTAGTGGAGGGACAGAGCCAATGAGCACCCAGTGTGATGAACAAGCACAGCACACGCTATGCAAAGCGACAAGTGCACTGCAAAAAAAGAGTGAGGTGTAAGAAATGTTTGACTATGTGAAGGGTTAAGCTTCTATTTTAATTATGTATTAATGACAGAGTTCATAGGAAAGGTAAAAAAAAAAGAAGGACAAGGGGAAGTTAGCCACATGGGCATGTAGGTAAGAGTTCTCCAAGTAGAGAGAACACCTGTGGTGGTACTGAGGCAGGAGCTTATCTGGCATGTGTGAGGAGCAGCAAAGGGGTCTGGTGGTTGCAGCAGGTGCAGCAGAGTCCAGCAGGGGAGAAAGGTAGGGAAGAGTAACAGAAGAGAGGGTGGGAGAGGGTGGGGCTAAGTCAGTGGGGCATCGAAGATACCTCGATGGCTCCAGCAGTTTTTCTGAAGGGGCCAATGGCAGCTTGTAAGTAATGTCAGGAGAAACAATCTGATTAACTGTTAAATTCAAACAATCTAATTTACTGGTTTTGTGGTTATGTTGGGGATGAGAGAGAACATTATTGGTCACATCAAAAACAGGTATAACATACATGAAATTATTATTTATGTGAAGAGTGATTTCTCTTATGCCAGCAACAGTATTTGTCCTGCTGACTACTAAATGGCTGACACATTATATTTACCCCATGGATGCATTGGAATTTTGATGAACCTATTTTTCTATATAAAATCCCTTTTGTCTGAGAAAACACATAAGGAGAATGGAGTGAATCCAAAAGGAAGATGGTGATACCTGGGAACCCTATGCCCCGGAGTCAGAACTTCAGGGGGAGTAGAAGCAGGGGGGCCAGTTCAGAGGCTTCTACAGTGACCCAGTGGAAACTGGGGGGCAAGGAAATGAGAAATGCTGCCACTCAGGAGTTTTGAGGACAGAGCTCACAGTGACTGCTCTCAGGCTGGATGTGGAAAAAGAAGACAAGGATGCCTGTGGCCTGAAGGGGAGCACTGCGGGTACAGTGGAGTGCAAGATCAGAACCAGTCTCAAGACATGTAGGTTTGAGATGATTATTGGAGGCAAGGGGAGATGGTGGCAGACAGCGGGATACAGGAACCTGCAGTTGGAGAGTTTTGGGTTGCAGATACACATTTGAGTCAATGGTAACACTGACTGTATTCTGAGTTCAGTAAGAGGAGCAAGTACAGACTGAGAGCAGTCACAATGTCAGGAGAGAGAAGGCTAGTCCAGGAGTCAGGAGAAAACACTCAGTGCACTGGACAGAGAATGAGGTGGGCACCATGTCCAGAAAGTGAAACAAATGAGGGGAAGAGAAACAACCTCCAGTGCTGCAGAGGCGTGGAGTGCCTGTATCCACTTGGGTGTGAAGTGCTACAAGCACACTCTGGCAGCAACTGGCTACATCTCTGCAATGGTTTGCCTTTCTCATTCACATCTGGATCATCCACAGTCCTCAGGACAGCTTTACATCAGCACTTCCGATTTTTTTTTATAAAAAAAAAAAATTTTTTTTTTTAAAGCTTTATTTATTTATACAGAACCAAGGTACAGGCCAGAGATGCAGAGGGTGAGAGGATTCACTAGAGACAGAGTGGGGAGCAGAACAGGCAGACTGACGAAGTACACTGCTGAGGGGAGCAGTGGGTGGGTCAGGAGAGGTCTGGCACGCTATGTGGATCTCCTCCAGGGCAGGTGGGGATAGAACTCATGCAGAAGTGGCCTTAAGCTTCTTAGTGCAGTGCTTTAGCCTGCTGCGTCACCAGGGAGGGCCTTGATTTTTTTTTTTTTTACATCTATCTGTAGTTGATTTAAGGCTGCCTCTCGAGCATGACAGATGCTGTCCTCCCCTTATGAACCTCCAGCCCTGTTGGTCCTTGAAACCATCTGTGATGACTGTGTCCCTCAATTCTGCTGGAAGAGAGGACTCCTCAAGACAACTTAACTACCAATTCTGCACCAAGTTTATGGGGAATCTTGTCCACTGCTTACCTTCTCGATGTCTACAAGTTCAGTCTCATAGATTTCAGCAATGGTGATATGGTGCTTGGCTGCAATTGTAAACCTTCCCTGGAGAGATAAATGAATAACAGAATCATACTCCTGTTCTACCGAATTGAAAGCAATTAATTTGGGAACAACAATGAAAAAGAATGCAACTCTAAGCCATCTCAGGACTCCACCCCACAGCCACTCAAGTAAGGCAATGTCTTACCATGTCTGTGTAAATGTCGATGGCTGCATTTAAGCAGTTGATAGCCTCTGCAGCGTAGGCATTTAAGAAAAACAATGAAAAATCCATTCAGTCAAAGAGGGTTCAGGTGAGCCTATCTTCTTGTTTGCCACTAAAATGTTAAGGAGCTTCCAGGAATTTGGGGTGGAAGGGGGGCAGGTTAGTGAGAAGCAACACAAATCACGCACGAATCCAGACCCATCAGCATGCTCTATCTGCAGCCGCTGCAGGGTTAGTCAGAAGTGGAGAAGGGCTGGCTCAGTACTCTTAACTTGACAGTGAGGACTCCAGCCAGAGAAAGACCGCATCATAAAGAAGACAAAACCACAAGGTCTGTCATCAATACCGACCAATTATATTGGCTAAAAATATGTGTAAATGTATTCCTCACTAATGTCTGTACATATGTTATTTTTGGAAGACAGTACCACTTCACTAGGAAAGATCATCTCAATAGGTTCTACTCTGCGTGCTAAAATCAAAAGCTCAAAAAAAAAAAAAGCAAACAAACCCATGAACCAAAAGCTCATCGAAATTCCTGTTCTGACATCTCTTGAGTGAAGTTATTTTGTACAATGTTAAAAGATGCTAAATTTTGGTTGACTAACATGCACACAAAAGGAAGGGGGGAAATCTAATAAGAGTGATAATAAAGTATATTAATTTTCCTAAAAAGTGAGTCAGCGAATTTCCCATCATAAAGTGGCAGTTTTTATGCTAGCATATAGTTGACAATTCCAAATTTATTGCTTTTAGTTTAAAAGAGAGTAGAGTATAAAAACTTGACTGAGAATTAGAAAGGTACTCAGATTAGTAAAATTTAAAAGCAATTTCCTCTTAACCTATACAAGAAATGTGGACTCACTGTTACACCTTTAAACACACAGAAAAGTATAAATAAAAAATAAGCTAGTTGTAGTCCCACTTAAAACCCCTCATTGGTATCCTGATACAATAGAGTGTTGATGAAATCTAGTGTTTTCTAGATATACTTCTATGTGCATGCACTTCTTTATGAATTTGAGACCTCAATTTCCGTGTGGTTCTTTAGTCACAAGTAAACATTTATCAGACCACTGAAGATTCTCTGAAAGTAGGGATTTTAGTGTCTGCATAATGTCAAAATTATGAGCACATTATAATTTTGCCATTTTATTTTTATTGCTCTACTTAGATTGCCCAGTTTTGCACTTTTAGAAATAAACTGTGATTAATCTTAACACAGAAGTTCTTGAAGTTATTTTTGTCTGATATCTTCATAAAACTTAGGATTTTTTTTGCGCTAAAATGAATTCCTAAAAGAAAAGGCTACACTGCATGTGTAGGAAGGAAGAAATTATCCTTTTAATTGCAAGTATATACTCCTCTAACTGAAAAAATAACACCGGAAAAATTTTACCACTTTAAATACCCAAGTTCTTTCCTTAAAACAAATACTTTGAAAAACACTTCTTAAAAAGTCAGATGCATACTGTCTGAATAAATTGTTCTTAATTATCAAATATTACAATCACCACTTAACTTAAATCTTAAAATACACTAGGTATTTAGGAGTAAGGAAATATTTTGCTTCCTTTAGTTAACAATATACATATTCATAAATTTAAGATATAAGAAGTCTTAGGTAAAATAAATTTCTAAAAAATTCTCCAAAAGCAACATAAATGGAGTTTAAAATGGTGTTGAAAACTAAACAGCCAGGATAAATTTAATATATTTTCTCCTCCAAATGATTAAAAATGATTCCTGAAGTTATCAGAATATTGTTCCAAAGTACAAAAATTTCTTTTCACCGGGATTCAAAATGTCCAACAGTGTAACTGTGAAGTAGGCTACCATCACTGACCTCTACTATCCAGAGTACACAGAGATGGAGGTGGGTCTTACCTTGAGGGTCTGCCTTTTTGTAAGCATTCCCAGCATCCACAAAGCTCGTAGCAGAATCATGTTTGCTCTGAAGCTGCATATGGAGCTTGGCTGCCTGGCAAAATGCATTTCCTGCAGCTGAAGGAGATAAATTAGTACAGTTAAACAGAAAGGATTAAACAGTCCCCATCCCAAGCTCAAACAATTGGGCTTACTCCTAAAAAGTAGTCCCATTTCACTGAAAAGAAGCACAGTCAGAAGAAGCACATGTGGAATGTGACTGAGTGCACCTTAGGTGAATATAAAAATAATCAGAATTAAATCAAATAGCAATATGGGCTTCATCAGCCCCAGGAGACCTCCCAACTATCCTGTGGACAACAGGCCTCATTCAGTAGCAACAGTCAAGTCCAAGGTCATTCAATTATGCTCCTCAGCATAAAATAAACACTGAGTAGGGGCATTAAGCTACAAATTAAAGGTAAAACAGTGAGGTCAAGAAAATGTTTCAATCATCCTTTTATCTAATAGTAAGTCAGTAATAACTTTGCAATTATCGATAAAATGCTGAGGAATTTATAGAAAAAACCAAGATTTTCAGATTGAAAATTATATCCATAATTTCAAAATTCAAGGTTTTTTAAAGTTTATTAACAAAATCTGACTAAAATTTATCCAAAGATTAGATTTTTTAAAAAGAGATTTTGGTTTAATTTTGTTTCTTGCTATTTTAACTTTATTTTGGCATAGAATTGGGGGCTAGAGGTGCATGGGGCATTTACCAGAGAGAGTGGGGAGCAGAACAGATGGATTTACTGAAATACACTGTTAAAGGGAGCAGTAGAAAAGGTCTTTGTGCCATATGTGGGTCAGCTTCCCTGCTAGGGATCAAACTCAGGTCATAGTGGTGATAGCGCTGAAACTTAATCCCTAGGTCACCAGGGAGGCCCCAGACTGTCTTTACCCCACTTTGTATGAAAACATGTATGTCTAAGCAGAATCAGATGGTGGTCCCCCCATCTCTCTGTGGGGCCATGGTATAACATAAAGAGGTTTATGCCCTCTTTTTTTTTTTTTCAGAAAAGTTTTGTGGATCAGGGACTATGAATTCTGGAGTAGCAAATAAAAAAGGAAGGGAGTCCCTAGCAGTGGTGTTGTAGGAACAAGGAACAAATGCTTCAAGGCAAGAAGAGCTGAAAATGGAGACTTGTGATGTGCCTGATCAGTCTGCAGGAGGAAAGAAGGTGCAGGATAGTGGAAATCAAGGCTGAAGACACCATCAGCCCAGTTCAGGCAGGGATTAAAATCTCAAATGAGGAACCTAGAAAAGATGAATCTACTTCATTCTGAGGTTCTCAGTTCAGAGAGAGGTCATGGCACAGTAGGCTGGGGCACATGCAAGCCTCTGGAGATACGGTCCAGTACAATCTGGACAAAGGAGATCGTACTGGTAGGAATGGAGGGGAAAGTATTCACTCTTCTAGGAAGAGCAAGATTAAGAACATCACAAATTTTTTGGCATTAAAAAAATGTGCATTTCAAAAAATTCAGAAAAGTACTGAAAACAATTAACAGATGCCTAAGAAAGCCATACATATACTTTAAATTTACTTTTAAGAAACAAAATATTCAGTTCCACCAATGCTTCACCTGCCACCTTTGTCCCAACCCCTCCCCAGAGAGCATATGAGTTTCTGGGTTTCCACCCAAAGGAAATGCATGGTACAAACTCCTGAGGCAGCCTGCCCAGGTTCAAATCCTGTGCTGTGTCTCAGTTTCTGATAAAAAAGTGTCCAGGCAATTTTGAAAATATTTTACCACCAACTTGGAGGGGGCCCTGACCAGTCAGAGGACGTTAGAAAAGCCCTGCCAGAGGGTTAAACGCTTCCACTGGTGTGGCCCTCCCTGGTGGCGCAACGGGTTAAAGCGCAGCACTAAGAAACTAAAGCCACTTCCGCATGAGTTCGATCCCCGCCTGCTCCGGAGGTGAGCACATGGTGCGGCAGACCTCTCCTGGCCCGCCCGCTGCTCCACTCAGCAGTGTACTTCATCGATCTGCCTGTTCTGCTCCCCGCTCTGTCTCTGGTGAATCCTCTCACCCTCCACATCTCTGGCCTGTACCCCAGTTCTGTATGAATAAATAAATAAATCTTTAAAAAAAAAAAAAAAAAAAGCTTCCACTGGTGAATCACGATGTTGGGGAACAAGATGAGGCATCAAAGTCAAGTGCCCAAGTAGAGGGCAGGCACCCAATACTTAGAGAAGCAGCTAACTTCCAAGTGGCAAGTCAGGACTCCATTAGCTGAAAGGCAGCTCTGCTAGGCTCTCTGCCTCAGAGGAGTGTCATACTATAAGGACTTAGTCTCCAAAGTAAAGTGCTTGAACACTGGTGCTAGTTACACAGGTCAGCCATTGTCATTATCACATCAAATCTATCCTTACAGAGTACTTGAGGTTTGGCATGTTTAAATGTAATCAATCTTTTCAGAGCCTACACACTCTCTCTTCCACCAATAACTTCACCTGTGAGAGTTCATCTAATGACTGCACCAGAACTGATCATGGCCTCTCTTTCCTGAGTGTCCCATTTCCAGGCTGGTCCCATTTCTCCAGACAATGTCAAGAGCATTAGTGTTACAAATTCATTCTACCACCTTCCAAAACTAGCTTTCAGCTTCCTTTTTCACTCTGAACATTCATTCCAATCATTGCTTATAAATGCCAGTTTGATCTCTCCAATCTTGGAAATGAATTTAAAAGAAACCAAAGTCAAACAACTTCACAGACTAAATTTTCTCAACTATAAAATTGGTCTAATGCCTTCCATGGTAATCTCAAAGCTGAGTACCAAATGAATTAACTTAATTTTTTTTTTAAAGATTTATTTATTCGTACAGAACTGGGGTACAGGCCAGAGATGTGGAGGGTGAGAGGCTTCACCAGAGACAGAGTGGGGAACAGAACAGGCAGATCGACGAAGTACACTGCTGAGGGGAGCAGCGGGCGGGTCAGGAGAGGTCTGCCGCGCCATGTGGTCACCTCCAGGGCAGGCAGGGATCGAACTCATGCGGAAATGGTTTAAGCTTCTTTGTGCTGCGCTTTAACCCGCTGCGCCACCAGGGAGGGCCTGAGTTAACTTAATTTTTATAAAAAAATATAAAAAGATGCAATGGTGTTATGATCACTACCACTGTAATGGTAATGGCTTCTAAAAATCTAATATTTATTTGCTCACAACTATTCCAGTCTGAGGGGAGAAGGAGGAAGAGGAAGCAGGAAGTGGATAGAAGTGGGTAGTGAGCACAATGGACTGTGGTGGAGGACTGTGGTTGCTTGGTGGTGGGAGAGCTATAATGACCACCCATGGGGGAAGAATCCTATATGTCAAAAAATTAATAACGATATAAAAAAAGAATATTTCACTAAAAAAAAAAAAAAAAGCAAACAAATATGCTGAGCATACTGTATTGCTAGTACTGGTCCAGTCATCAGCAGAAATAAAACATGGAAACATCTGACCACCAAAGGTTTACAGTCTAGTGAGGGAAAACACATAATTAAAATTCATAAACACTATAAATGAATAAATGCAAGTCATTTTGTGTTTTACCAAAGGTGTTAGAGAAAGGGGAGTAGGTTTCTCAGAAGACTACTGGTATTTGTGAAAGGGTGATAGACAGACCTACAATGATACATTTGAGGACCTGATTGAAGCAGGGTATCAGTCACATTCTATCTTGGGGAACAGCATGTCAGACAGAAGGAACAGCACATACAAAGTCACTTCCTCTTCAAAATGGCTTTTGTATTATCTTTGCCTGAAAAGCAAACAACCAAAATCTTTATACGTACCACTCCAATTTTTAGCCATCTTGAACATATTTGCGGCTCTGGTATACATTTCGCAAGCCTCTTCTATTCTTGTATTCCCTCTGAGAAAATTTTAAAAATGAGGTTAGTTTTACTATAACAACCATTCATGTACCTAATTCTTCTTCCCTCCTTCAAATAATAAATATTTAATAAGCACTTACTATGTGCCAACAAACATTAGAGAATATTAACAGATGCTAAAGGAGATACTCTTACAAAATGGGGTTATTTTCCAAATGAGAAAACTAATACATACAAAAGTAAAATGACTAGCCCAATGTCACAGAGCAAGGACACCACAGCACTAAGACTCAAAAATACAGAGCTGACCCTGTAGCCGACACACAATCTGAGAGTTTTTCCATGTATGGAAATTGATGTTTTTTATATTAGTCTAAGAAATTAGAGTGTAATATTCAAAGGAGATTAAGTCCCGAAGGATAAAGACATCTTTATCCTGTTAATTCTGAAGAGTTTAGTACTAAGTGTATTTAGACTTAAAAATAAAAACAAAACCTGGATCCAGAGCATATGAAGAAGGACCATGCTCTGGCTATATTATCTATATATTAACTGCTGGCTCTGGCAGGAGAGAAGTCTTTCTCCAACATGAAGATGCCTCAGAGTTTCAGTCCTCTCTACGTGAAAATTTGTTCTGTTGTACAATATCCTGAAAGGAAGTAACTCCACTGACTGCTGCCTGAAAACATACTATTCTCGAAAATTCGTCACATGTAGTTGGTTCACAGACAGCTTTAGTTACTTAGAAACTTCTTACAGATAAGTAAAAATAATCCTGTGTAATTTCCACCAAAGTTTTCTATTTCAACCTTGCTTTTACTGAGTTAGGATAAGGCCCCTATGAATGATTCTTTACTATCTTCTCTATATTACAAAAACAAAATATCCACAGCACCAAGAAGTGGACTCTAGTACACAGAATGAGGAACTCAAAGTGGAGTAAAGACAGAGAACTGAGAGAGAGGAGAATTCAAGTTTGACCCTTGGGAGTGGGCACAATATGAACACAGGGGAAGATGTATCTCCCAGGAGCCCGTAAAGGCACCAACCTGGTAGAGGGACACACATAGCTGTGCAGTGGGCTGGGCAGACAGTTAGGGCAAGGTGTTACTTTAGGGAGTAGTGACTGCCTGATCCTACTATCTTTAACCTCATCAGGTCTCCACTTAAGCACATGTATATAGAGAATAAAAGGATCTGTATCTGTGGGCTTTCAAGACAATTAAAAAGAAATCCATTTATAGTTGTCACTACAGGGCTTGACCCAAAGTAGATACTCGGTCATGATGTAAATTATTATAATTAGATTCATGAATCAAAGGCATAAAAACCCTTGGGATTATTTGTATATTGTGTGCCTGATAAGGGACTTGTAACTAAGGAACTCTTACAACTCAGTAATGAAAAGACCAATAACCCAACTAAAAAATGGACTAAAGTATCTGAATAGACAATTCTCCAAAGAAGATGGCTAAAGAGCACATTAGAATATACACAACATCAGTAGCCATCAGGGAAATACAATCAGAACCACAAATGAAATAACACTGCTGGTACATATATAAAATGATACAGCCACTTTGGAAGAGTATGCCAATTATTCAAAAGGTTAAATACTTTGAGTTATTATAGACACCAATTCCACACCTAGGTACATACACACCTAGCAAAAATGAAAGTGGTAAGAATTGTATACAAATATTCACAGCAGCATCTTTCAAAATTGTCAAAAGGTAGAAACGATGCCAGTGCCCCTTAACTGAAAGGATATAAAATATAGTGTACACATACAATGGAGTATTTGAGCAATAAAAAGAAATGAAGTACTGATACATGCTACAATATAGAAAAGCTTTACAAAAGTTTTGTCAAGTGAAAAGAGCCAATCACAAAGGAACACATATTGTATGGTTCCAATTCTAAGAAAGGTACAGAATAGTCAAATTTAGAGAAACATAAAAATTAGAGGTTACCGGGCCCTCCCTGGTGTTGCAGTTGGTTAAAGCACAACACTGAGAAGCTAAAGCCACTTCAGCATGAATTCCATCTCCGCCCCGGGGGTGACCTACATGGCACAGCAGGCCTCTCCTGACCTGCCCGCTGCTCGCCTCAGCAGTGTACTTTGTCAGTCGGCCTGTTCTGCTCTCCACTCTGTCTCTGGTGAAGTCTCTCACCATCCCTGTACCTCTGGCTGTATCCCAGTTCTGCATGCATAAATAAATAAATCTTAAAAAAAAAAAAATAAAGGTTATCTACAAGTAGGAGTATTTCATGGGGGAAATGAAAATATTAATTGTTCCAGTGATTACATGGCTCTGTATATGCTAAACACTACTGAATTGGGTGAGTTATGTGGTAAATGAAATTCTATCTCAATAAAGCTGTTCCTCCCCTCCTACCACTTTTGGGGCTACATCACACCAAAAAGTGAAGTGTCAGAATAAGCAGTCTTTTCTCACACCTCTTATTCCTTTTTTTCTACCTCAAATTTACATATTAAAAAAAAAAACCCAATTAGCTAGTTTCCCCAATGGAAATTTCCTAAACAGGATAAAGTTTTCAACCTTAGCCACAGCTCCCCGGAGCAAACAAGACTTGCCACTTTCTTGTATCTTGTTTTTCTAAAGTATACCAGCATCCTGAAGTGTAATTATAGTGCAATCATTCTTATTAAAGGTTTCCAAATAAAACTAGCTAAATTAAAATGTACTTTATCCTATTATTTTCAAAGACAGATTCAGCAAGAAATAATAGAACGCCTACATTATGCCAGATATCTCCACATATGTTCTGTCATTTTCATTATTACAACAACTTTGAAAGACACTATATCCATTTTTACAGAAGAGAAAAGTGGATCTGGAGCTCAATGGCCCAGCCAAGGTCACCCAGACAAGATCAGTGATGGATCTAACAGTGGATGCTGAATTCAGAGATCTATAAAAGTACTGAATAAACCCTGCTATTCTCAAGATCCTCACCACTCCTACAACAGAATCACCAGACATATTCTCATTTTAAAAGCACGGGAGAAACTGTCATTATAAACAAAACTTTTAAACTTCATTAAAGATGGTATTTTAAAAATTTCTCCAAATGCTACAGTGTTTTATATATGTAGAAGCTAATTTTTGTAAGCTTTAAGGACAAATATTCAGTATTCAAATAATTCAATTGTTACACGGAACCCCAAAGTAAGGTAGAAGATCCTTGAAAACAAAAAGAAAGGAAATCTAATTATAAAGTGGTAAAATTTAAGCACATGGCACTAAGCTAAACTGAGTCAAATTATTTTTTGATATAATGGTATTCTGCCCTTGAGGATAACTATGAAAGGAAACAGTGACCAGCTTGCATAGAACCCTCCTTCTCTACCCTAACCTCTACACCATCACCACCACATTCAGCCCATTAATTCCCTCAATTCCATGGGCAAGGCTGACTCTTTTTCTTCACCATGCTTACTAAGGAAAAATTCCCTGAGATTATCTTGTGGCATAAAACTGTGGAAAGAAGGGTTTTGCCCATAAGGAGGTCAGAATGATGAGGATGGAAAAGATCTAAGAGTAGCCAAACACACCCTCCCCATCATGTTCCAGTGAGAAGACCTGATCAGAGGCTCACTATGTTCCACAAGGAAATGGTAAACAGTGGAGATGTGCCTTAAACCTGGCTACAAGTTCCTGTATCTCTTCACTATTCCACCCTCCTGTTCCCCTTGAGAAGTTTAGGGATATACAAAAAAAAAAAAAAAAAAAATCCAGGATAATTATAGCCTATTATTTCAAAGACCTTAAATCATGTCTATACTCAGACAAGTCTTTGATTTTTTTTTTTTAAAGAAATTACTCATGCATATAAAACTGGGGTACAGGCCAGAGGTGCAGGAGCAGTAAGAGGAGTGGGGAACAGAACAGGCGCACTGATGAAGTACACTACTGAGGGGAGCAGCAGGCAAGACAGGAGAGATCTACTGTGCCATGTGGGTCCCATTGGGGAGGGCCCAAGTCTTTGATCTTTTAACAACCAATTAGTGGCCCTCCCTGGTGGTGTGACGGGTTAAAGCACCATGAGGCTGTCTGTAGCCAGTGAAGTGGGAGTTTGACCCCCACCCAGGGGGGTGACCCACATGGCACAGCACACCTCTCCTGTACTGTCTGCTGCTCCTCTCAGCAGTGTATTTCAGTCAATCTACCTGTTCTGCTTCCCATGATGTCTCTGGTGAATCTTCTTACCCTCGAACCTCTGGTCTGTGCCCTAGTTCTTATATGCATAAATAAATCTCTTTAAAACAATAGTCTTCAAATAATTTAAATTTGATTTTTCCTCATCCTGAATAAGAATGAGTTCAGAGCACTGTAAAACACCGATGACTCTAGTACTCACTTTTAAAACCGTGGGTGGAAGGAGAGATGTTAAAGTAGAATCTGTGGGACTAACAGCTCATACCTCATAAGAAAAGGTAACAACTGCTGAGGCAGAAATAAAGCAGCTTCTAAAGTTAGAAGATATTAGAGTAGAAATATCATAAAAATTGACAATGACAGTGCTGTGGTGATATGAAAGAACTAGTGACAAAATTCATCTTTATCATCAAAATACTCTGAAGAGATGTCAAAAGTTCTGAAAAAGGGATCAATTTAGCAGTCCTGGGGCTCTGGGGAGAGAAGACACCAACTAGGATAGCTCCTCCTTCCCATGATTCACCAGTAACATTACTTATGCCACGAAACTGATGCTCTTTGGAGAGGGCCTGGCACATAGGATTTGCTGACAATGCTGATTGCTCTGTGTGTGGATGGAAGAAACTTTAAACATTATAGGTTTTTAGATATTCCCCATGTTTCCCTCAAAATAACTAGCAAAGACAGGAAACACTCAGAAAAGGAGCAAAAAATTCAGTATCTATTTTAAATATATCTATCATTAAAGGAAACACTCATTCTCTATTCAAGGACATCTGCCACCAAATGTGAGGGTTTTCCACATCAAGCAATTCTCTAATTCTCTGTGCTCACCACAAGACTGCCCTGACTAC